TGCACTTGTTTGGTCCCAATAACAGCTCTGGATGCAGTGTATGCGCAGCGTCAAGTCTTTAAAAATGAAAAAAACATCAATTTCAAGTTTTAAAATCATTCAGATTGATGAATATATCCTGCGGTATTCCCGGAACAAAATGTATCTGCACATGGGCACATAAAAATTGATTTGTGCAGTGAAAAATCAAAACACTCTTTCTTTTGATGAACGGCGATCTTCGTTCGTTGTCATTTATCATCAGATACATGTTGATAAAAAAATTGTCAATATCTTGGAAATGTGTGTACGTTATTTGAATATTTTGTTCGAAAATTCTTTATGCATATTTAGCCATTGAAAATGTTCCATTGAATTTTCATTTTTATTTTTTTTTCATTCATTCATTCTTGTTCGGCCGTTTTGTTTGCTATTCACTCGATTTGGCAACGATTGAGTAAATATTTGTGAATAATTTGAAACGTGATCAAAATTTAATAACCTTGCACATGCAAAGAAATTTCACTAAAATGGAGAACGAGCGAGCGAGAGAGAGAGAGAGCAAGTTCGTGGCTGCTGTTCCATTTATTAGTTGACAGCATTGGTGAATGATGGTTCGTCCAACTTGCGTTTTATTTTCTATTCAATACATCGGATGATTTGAACTATAGTTCAGTATCGAAGCAATAACAACGACAAATATTCTCCATGCAATTTTCCGCCTAGAACACAATTCCACTTTTCAATAGAAAAAAATTAATGCATTTTGTTTGGTGGAATTTTTTGTCGTTGTCTAATAAATTTCTAAACAATTCATCATAAATTAAATGCGCAAGCATCGTGACCATTGGTTATGTATGACCAATACAGCAAATTCCTGTCGGTCTCTCTTTTGTCACACGTTCGTGTGTTGTTTTTTTGTCATGCTAAGCACAATTATTCGATTTCGAATTTCGATCGTGCTGTGTAGATGCGCTCGTGCGTTTCGTAATTTTATCAATTCCACTTTTTTTTTTCTCAATATCACAATCGCTTGTTCGTTCGCCGATAACAATATGACAATTTATGCATGTACCTCTCTAAACGAAACAACGTTAGCACTTTTCACATAAATTGGAACGTTTGTCTGTATTTTATCGGGTTTGCATCAATTGCTCATATTCGGTTGTTTGGCATTTGTATGGCTTTCAAAGGTATACGCACATGTGTGAATTGAGTGTCGTTTATCATTAATATTATGGTTATTATAATAATTACTATTATACTTGATCTGGCGCTATACAAGCGACGTTCACATGCAGTTGAATCACTGCAAAAATCGTATATACGTGCTCACATATCTGAAATTGACATATCTGTTCACATTAATAACGGCCAAGAGAGTTCAACTAGGATAGAGCAACAAACTGGTGAAAACTGGCACTGGCACAAACCAAAAATGATAGTAACATACCGCCAATCATATGTGGACAAACACATTAATGTTGGCTCCAAATAAGTGAGGACACACACATACAACTCATGCTGTGACTTTATTGAATGTGAATGGATCTTTACTTTCTTCATTCTATCAATGTGTTCAACCACAAAGGGTAGGTAGCTCAATTTGGTAGATGAACCAATGTGCAGCCCCATTGAGCAATTCGCACTATCCAATAAATTTGGAATATTACTAATCATATGGTTAAAAAAATTATTAAGCACAACATCATTTGAATACCGCCTCGGATACCCAAAACGGCTGAGTTTCGCCAAAAGTAATTCTCATTTTTTTGATTCTCAGATCAAGTCAGATCATTACAAGAGACGGCAAGAAAGAAGAATGAACATGACTAGATTTTCAATATATTTTGAAACGGCTATATTTGATTACAGAAACAGAGGAATGGCTCACTTTTTTGACACGACCGCCCCTGGTATACAGAAGTTCATAAAGTTAATTGAACATGCTCGATTCAAAAAGTTACAAACCGTTGACGAACGCCAAAGCTTGCACACTTTTCTACGGCTCAATGCAAAAATTTTAGTTATCATTTTTAACTTTTGCTGATTTATTTTCAAAATCAAAACTAAAACATTAAACATGTATGCAATGGAAATGATGATGATTATTCGTCCAAATATTGCCGCTGAAAACGATAACATACGAATAGATCTAAAGTCTTTGTTGTCTGCCATTTTGGTTTTACACACATGCAAATATTTAGATTACATTTCAATCTATAGTATGAGTTGATTATAATGGACGAAATGTATAAACTGAATGTGAATCGATTTGAATGTATATGACAGCATACGAACGGATTTTGCGATACTTCATCCCCCGATTCCCTACGATGGCCACATACTCAGTTTCAATCTCTTGTTGACATTTGATATTTTCAAATTCATCACATAATAATGTGACGTCGCGTTAACAGACACACGCTTTTCACATATTCGAACTTTGACACGGAGTCTTTGACAAGCGGTATCGCACATTCACATCCAGAGTTCAAAATTTGAGGTTTAATGTTTGTTTAGTTCATAAATAAATTAGTTCGATATTTGATTTTGTGTTAAAAAGCATATTAGTTGAAATGATATTTCAGGCTAATAATGTTTGCTTCTCTGGAGCTCGAATGAGAGACCAAACGGCAAAGCAAATAAATATTATAAGTGAAATTTGATACAGTCGACTTTCGATAATTGAAATGTTCTATTTGGCGAAATAAAAATTCCGGAAACTCACCTTGAACTCAGAGTGCTCGTTTTACACTACCCTCCTTCGTTTTTTCTAAGCAAAAATTGTGATTAATTGGTGTAGCTCCATTGCTTTAAAAAATTGCTCGATATTTTTCTTAACATAATCGAGATTAACGTTCGAAGTAAGGAGATTATTTGGTCTTTCAAATTGGAAATTTAAGTTATCGAGTGTTGATCGTATATATTAAAACTGTATTTGTCTTTTTTATTATTATCTTCTCGCTTGTTCGCCGAAAGCACATAAGATTTGTTAACTTAGTGCGACTTTGAGCAATTCCACATTTAAATCGTTTTTGAACCAATCAAAATTATCCATTTATGTAAACACCAAGATAAACACACAAGCCCAATCTATTTCAAAGTATTTTTTTTAACTTGGAATATTCTCAATCATACTATCATAGCTGTTCAAAACAAGGTAACGAATATTGAGATAAATACATATTTAATATATTATCGACTAAATTCATATTTATGTCAAATGATTTTGAAGAGCTAAGATGCCAATCAAGCCGTCTATTTTCATTAGATACAATCATACACAACAAAATTATCATTTTAGTTACGATGGAAAAGTCTATTTTTAGTCTTGACATTTTCAATTTCGATTGTCATCCGAAAAACTATAATAATAATAATACACTCAAAAATGCTTGTAATACACTGAAATGTAAATTGATTCATATCACCGAAATGTACGTGGACATTTGCCATTGAAAACGAACAAAAAAAACTGTGTATTTGACAAAAGCAGTGCAAGAAATACTCATTTCAATTCATTAAATTCGATCGAAAAACCACATATAGTAAATAACATCGGCTTTTAACTTTATATAATAGTTTACAGGTGGATGTGAAATAAAAAGGAGGAGAAAAAAAGGTAAATAAATATTGATACACAAGTTGAAGCCGCTAGAGTTATTAATAATGTTGAATTATATTAATTATTTATTCAGATTGATTTTGATATGGGTAGACAAGAGAGGATGAGCGACAATCGAGGATGGATGAGGCGCCGTAGTGTGTCTGTGTGTGATGCACGAGAGAATGGAAGAAATATAAATAGAGAATCATCACAATTCGTGTGTGTTGGTCATTCGTGAGCCAAAATGAATGTGAAAAACGGGTTGGCAATTGTAATTTTAAATGGATTGCTGGCCTTTTTCAGTCGATTGAATTAAAATTGAAAGCTGCGAAAATCGCTGAATGCATGTGATTTTTCGCCATTGTTGTTCATTTGTTTTTTTTTGTCATCATATAAATACTATTGAATTCATTATCTCTCATAGTATTATTAATACGAATAATAATTATATTATTCATTTTATTTGTTTGTACATCAACGGTGAAAAATTTCAGTTTGATTTTCGATGGCAATCATATTTTTCACACTCAAATTAATACATAAATTTCACAGATGTGTATGTATGCGTATTCATTCGCCGTGTGTGCGTTTTTTTGTCGATTTTTTTCTCTTTCACTCTGTGCTCACGCCTCGGTAATTATTTCAGATTTATCATCCGTAAGCAAAATTAAATAAATAATGATAAAAAAAGGCAAAAATGACGAACAAAATGGTTACAACAAACGTATCGAACAAAGAGAAACATAATGAAATATGAATAATTCTTTTGCGCTGTTTTTTTTTTTTAAATGCATGTGTATTATGTCATTTCATTTGCGTAAATTTAATTTGATTATACAAGTAAAATGTTACATTTCTACCGTAATTTAATTTAGATCGCATTCTCTTTTTTGTGCCGCGTTTCGATTTAATTATATTATTTATTATTTTGTGGTTTGATTGGCTTACTTTTGATATCAATGGAAAAATGATTTCCACACATGTCTTTATAGAATGAACCGAATTTAAGAGCATTAAAATTGGTGACTATTATTACCATTATTTGCATTTTCACAATTTATCAATCAATCAATTTTTCTCTCATCTTTCACACACTCTCTCTACTTACATGCTAATATTTCATGAATGGAATTGTACAGGGCTATGTAAAACCATTTAATCCGATTATTACTATTGTAAAGTGTTGAAAATGTTATCAAAGTCCGAAAGCAAAATATTCTTGCAATTCAAGAAATTTCGATTCACTGAAGAGAAAACAAACATCATGTATAGGTCGTTCACTGGAATAACATTCAAGTATTATGAATTCCAAAAATAGAATATATCCAGGAATCGTACCACATTTAAAACTGAAAACATTCACCGCATACAAACCGCATGTAAAATGTTACTGATTACAAATTGTACTTACATAAAACGTGCAAAACAACTTGGGCCGATGCTGCTTGACCAACTCCATTATTGGCCGTACAGATGTAGGTGCCTCCTTTGTGGCGATCCATATTTTCGATAAGTAAAACCGACGACGATAGCTTTTCATCACCTACACACAAAATGAATGTACAAAATTAAAATTAGTCAAACGCCTTCCATTTTATATTTTCAGACAATGTTTGTGTTCTTATTTTTCTTTTCTCGCTTCCACCCTCTGTTTTGCAGTTAGTTTCATAAAGCAATTCATGATAATGTCCAAAGTTTCTTGAATTATTTACATTATTTTTGTTACTACTTTGACAATGTTTGCTGGTGTTATATTTTTATGGATAAATTGTGAAACGATGCCGACCGAGAAAAAAAACAACAACGATAGAAATACACGAAGCGAAATATATTCATTGAAATTGAAATAGCCAGTCAACTTATAGATCACGACGATACGAAATGAAGTGAAAAAAAATACACAAAATGAGAAATATTTCTATTATGATGATAATTCTTGATTATTTCAATGCATATTATTCATTCCATTAGATGGTTGCGTTGAACAGTATTTCCTTTTTCTTGATGTGTGCTCGCTTTTTTCGCATCCAACATAGTGAAAATACATACATCGAAAATCGTCTCTTTCACCATACCATGTAGTTTGCCAACTTCACTCCCTCCGCCCTATTTGCTTTCCATCTCCCCGACGTTTACATCTTCGTCTCCATTCGTTTTCGGCTATTTTGTGTATTATTTGTATATCAAAATATGATGATAATTTCTGAGCTGGGATTTTATTTACCCAAAGGATACGTTAGCATTGTATTTCAGTTCGAAATGACTTTGAAGAAGGCAGCTGCTCGCACATCGAAACCGAGAATAATCATTTTTCAGTGGAAAGAATTGTAAATAAAAGGAATAGCAACGGCAAGCAGCTGCAGGTCAGTAATTTTATCATTGCGTTGAATATAACCGAAATATGTAATAAGCACAGCATCCGAAAATGAAGCATGATACGTTGTAAGAGAAATGGAAAAGTGCGATACAATAAAAAAAAATATCGAGAGTTGGAAAAATGGCGAACAATGTCTTAAATGTGCGAAAAGAACCACGAAACATGATCAACGAGTGCCGAATCAAGAACAGAAAAACAAAAAAAAAATTGCCCGTACATTTTTTGGTATAGAGAGCGTGTGTACGAACTAAAATAAAAGTAACCGACAGTTGAGCCAAAATAACGAATCAACTCAAATAAAAATAGAGATGGAGAGAAGAGACTACAAACGAATGGAAAAGAAATGAGAAAATGGAACGTGTATTGTCTTTTTAAATCCATTGTAAGTAATGAAAATCCTTTTTTTTCTATTCCTGCTGTGGTTCGTTTGTTTGCTTGTGATTGTATTTGCTTTTGGTATTTTATGTTTTGTGTATTTGAATTTTCACTTCACTTTATTTGGTCATTGCGTATGTGTTAAGCACGATGGTTGCATGCAAAACCCATTTCTCACACAGAGAAAATCATACAACAGATTAAACAATACACATCTTTTTTTTATGTGAAACGTCAAAACATAAGCCACCATGTTCTCACCAAATATTTCAAATATCGGTACTATGCACATTTAGAATCGGTTTTGTGTGGTACACTAACCAAAAAAGCGGGAAGAATACAATAGTGATTATATTTTGACGTTTCTCAAAAATGTATTGTTAAAAATAATTCGCTTTTTTTCAGTGCATTTTTTCCACTTTTTCGGCACCAATTTATTTTCGTTCACATTTATTTCGTTTCGTCTTTCCTATTTCGAATTCGAGTTTTCAATTCTTTTCTGTCTATGTTCAATTGCGTGTTCGAATTTCAAACTTCTGCATCGTTACGTGCATCTCGCTTCATGAAAATCACTTGGAAATTTGTTGTTGGTTTTTCGGCCAACCAGCCAAAATAAAAAAAACTCGATCGCCGTAAGCTTTCGGATGATAGAAAATGAATGTATCAAACCTCATCGAATCGATAGCATTTTTTCAAATAAAATATTCGTCAAAAGAATATAATATTTCAAAACAAATGGAATGACGCACCAACGATATA